TTTTGAGACAGAGTCTCCATCTGTTGCCCAGGCTGGAGTGCAGTGGCGCAGTCTCGACTCACTGCAACCTTTGCCTCCCAGGTTCAAGTGATTCTCCTTCCTCAGCCTCCTGAGTAGCTGGGACTACAGGCACGCACCACCACACCTGGCTAATGTATTTTTAGTAGAGACGAGGTTTCACCATATTGGCCGGGCTTGTCTTGAAATCCTGACCTTGTGATCCACTTGCCTCAGCCTCCCAAAGTTCTGGGATTACAGGCATGAGCCACTGCACCCAGCTCGATATGGCAAAATTTTAAAATTTGGCTAGGCATAGTGGCTCACACCTGTAAATCCCAGCACTTGGGAGGCCAAAGGGGGAGAATCCCTCGAGCCCAGGAGTTTGAGACCAGCCTGGGCAACATAGCAAGACCCCCATCTCTACAAAAAAAAAAAAAAGAAAATAGCCAGGTGTGGTGGCACACACCTGTAGTCCAGCCTACTCAGGAGGCTGAGGTGGGAGGATCATTTGAGGTCAGGAATTCGAGGCTGCAGTGAGCTGTGATCAGCCACTGTACTCCAGCTTGGGCAACAAAGAAACTCTGTCATAAAAAATTTTTTTAACAATTCCAATATAATAGGGATTTTTAATTTTTACTAATTTTACAAATTTTTTGAGAATCCGCTACGTGCTAAATATAGTCCTAAATGCTACATGCTAAATACAGTTCTAGATACCGGGAATACGTCTGTAAATAAAATATTTGAAATCTCTCTCCTCATGAAGCTTATATTCTAGGGAGAAACATGATAAATATGTAAAATGTCATGTAATCTTAAGCGTTATGCAAAAAAAGTGAAGCAGAGTAAGGGAGAGAGTAACAGTGATATTCCACTTGCTAAAGAAAGCTTATACTATTTTCAGGGAAGCAGAAGGATATTTCTATAGCAAAAGGCTGAAGGGGAAGAGCTCTTGGCACAATTTTTGGTGGGAGAGGTCCTCTATTTACTCATATACGGCTGCAAGAGATGTGTATTTTGTTTCACTATGTAAAATACAGGCTTGAGGAAATGAGAGTACAGCTTTAAATTTCAAAATAGCAGGAAGTCCTTTGAAGTTGTTCACTCAGCACCTAATGTATTGCCTTTGTATGCAGCGAGGGCTCGTTTATTGATATCTGATAAAATGCTCCTCATTAGACTTTGAAGGGCTACTTCTGAGGGATTGTAATACTTTTCCCTCTGTTTATGGTAGAGACAGGCTATAGCAGGCCAGCACTTGTACCATTTTCAGATTATTACCATGCCTACATAGGGATGCTAATATTTCTACCTCAGAAGCCCAAAACTTCCTTACCTGTTGCTATTGTCATCTAATTTTCCTATTTAATAAACTATTATTTTCCCTAACTTACCTTGATATTCAGCAAAACCATATTTTGTGTCGTGTCTTATCAGGAACAGCACTGCCTGGACAAGATATAAGCCAGAAGGAGATTTTTTCAGCTTAGTCATCTCTGTTTTTTCTCCCCGTAACTAAGATATTTATCTGTATGATTGATTTGATTTTTTTTTTTTCCAGAAATGAAGGACTTGCTTCAGTCCTTCAAAGATATACTCTAACAGGTTCAGTACTTTCTTCCTCAAGGTAATCAGATTTAGTTTAGAAATGTTCCTGTTGTCTTTTTCTGATGGTCCAGATTTGAACTTTGCTCCATTTATTGGTGCAAGATGACCATATTTTATGGCCCATAGTTACTCCAGACTTCAGATTTCTTCAGAAAATATCACTGCAATAAAAATATGATACAGTACTACTCAAAGACTTAAATTTTGAATTGTTTATATCCTTGAAGACAACATTTGAAAAAATATACTCATATTTTACGAAATATTCCAGGGATGTTTGATTTTCAGTTTCATATTAGATGAGACAAAGCTGCGCTATGAAATCAGGAAATATTTTCCAGAGTGTTTCCCAAGAAGGATGGGCAGTTCATTAACAGGATTTGTTAGTGGGTGAGCTCTAATAAGGAAGTCATAAAGCTATTAAAAGGCTTAAGTACCCTTTTTATCAGCAAAAGAGGGCCAAGGTGTTGGTAAAAATCTTTGGAGTAAGATCTAATGAGCTGGCTCCAGCAATTCACTTTATATGATGTGCTGTAGAAGTAGCTACTGAGATGGGGCTCAATAGTTTGGTGTATAATTACAAACTGAGCAGGGATGGTTTTATGCAGGTTGTTAGGGAAATAATATTCTAGTCAAAATGTCTAAACATCAAGGCTGTTTCATTGAAAGTGTGGCCTTCAGTGAGTTAGGTTATATCCATTTTGTGTATGCTTGGTACATAGTTTACTTTCAATAAATGCTTGCAATAAAGGAGAAAAGCAGAGTACCATGTAAGGAAAAGCAGTCTAATAAACCTACGGAGAGAAAACATTTTTTTTTTAAGGTAAACTATAGAATAGCCAAGAAGGCTTGTCAATGACAGGTTACTTTCAGAAATAAGACATCTCACACTGGGAACAAAGGAGCCACAAAGGCAGAGAACTTGGGAACATGTCACTGGTGTTGGGAAATAAAAGGAAGAATAAATTCTTGAATAAGAGCGGATTTTGATTTAGCTTAGATGACATGTTTTTCACATTGATGAAAACACTGTCTTCAGTGCCACAGGAAGAACGCAGAAACTACAAACTTAATTGGTTCATAAGACTAGACTGTTAATATAAAAGGTGAGTTAACCCAGTAAGCTACAGTTATGCCTCTCTTGGAAGGGGATCTGACATTCTCCAATTTGAGTAAACTGGATTTGCAGTTTTAAAATGTATCAGCACCCAGTATGAGCTTAGTACTGACTTTTTTTTTTTTTTTTTTTTGAGACACAGCCTCACTCTTGTTCCCCAGGCTAGAGTGCAATGGCGTGATCTTAGTTCACTGCAACCTCTGCCTCCCAGTTTCAAGCGATTCTCCTGCCTCAGCCTACCCAGTAGCTGGGATTACAGGTGTCCGCCACCACGCCCAGCTAATATTTGTATTTTTAGTAGAGACAGTGTTTTGCCATATTGGCCAGGCTGGTTTCCAACTCCTGACCTCATGTGATACCCCCAGCCTCCCAAAGTAATGAGATTACGTGCGTGAGCCACCTCACCTGGCCAAGTACTGACTTTTAAAGTAGGAAAAGCAGTATATCAAATAATTTATGAGCATAGGCTTTGAAATACTTGGGTTCTAGTCTCAGCACTGCACTATGATCTTAGTGCATACTAACAAAAGGAAAAAAATTTTTTTAATTTTTAAAAAAAATTTAGGTAAGTTACTTAGTATCTATAATTCTAAGTTTTCTTAGCCTGTTATCATAATGGTAAAGAATACAAGGGCCAACATCAGGATTCAAATCCCAGTTCTTTTGTTTCCTGCTATGTCATTTTAGGCAAGCTACTAAACTATGACTCAGTTTCCTCATATGGAGAGAGGGGGAGAGAGAGAGAGAGAAATAATACCAGAATCATTGGATTGTTGACATTCATTGATCCCTGAATAAATGTTAGCTGTTTTCAGGAATTTTTGTGAGTAAACCCTAACTTGGAAGTACTGAGTATAGGCCAGGCATGGTGGCTCTTGCCTATAATTCCAACATTTTGGGAGGCTGAGGCAGGAGGATTGCTTGAGGCCAGAAGTCAAGACCAGCCTAGGCAACATAGACCCCCATCTCTACAAATAAAAAAATTAGCTGGGCATGGCAGCACATACCTGTAGTCCCAGCTACTTGGGAGGCTGAGGTGGGAGGATTCCTTGAGCCCCGGAGTTCAAGGCTGCAGTGAGCTATGATCATGACACTACACTCAATCCTGGATGACAGAGTAAGAGCCCATCTGTAAAAATAAATATCTTTTTTTCTTTTTTGAGGCAGGGTCTCACTGTGTTGCCCAGGCTGGAGTGCAGTGACATGATCATGGCTTACTGCAGCCTCAACCTCTGGAGCTCAAGCAGTTGTCCCACCTCAGCCCTCCTGAGTAGCTGGTACCACAGGTGCATACCACCATGTGCAGCTAATTTTGTTTGTTTGTTTATTTATTTAATTATGAGACACAGTCTCGCTCTGTCCCCAGGCTGGCGTACAGTGGCATAATCTTGGCTCACTGCAACCTCCGCCTCCCAGATTGAAGCAATTCTCCTGCCTCAGTCCCCCAAGTACTTGGGATTTACAGGCGCTCACCAACATGCCCGGCTGATTTTTGTATTTTTAGTAGACACAGGGTTTCACCATGTTGGTCAGGCTGATCTTGAACTTCTGACCTCAGGTGATCCGCCCACCTCAGCCTCCCAAAGTGCTGGGACTATAGGCATGAGCCACCACACCCAGCCAATTTTTATAGAGGTGAGGTCTCACTATACCCAGGCTAACCTTGAACTCCTGGACTCAAGTGATCCTCCTGCTTCAGCTTCCCAAAATGCTGGGATTATAGCCACTGCACCCAGCCTAAGAGTAAACAAATATATGAAAGAAGTACTGGGTATATTTGCTGACATCAAGAAACTGACATTCTTGTTTTAAAGTTCAGGCTAACACATATGAAAATAAAATCAATAGAGGGCATTATATAAGTGTTAAAGATTGT